TTGAGCAGGCAGGGAAAAGGGAAAGAAAAAAAGATGAATTTTGTTTTTAAAAAATTGATCCCATTTGTTTTATACTAAAGACTCAGATCTGATATAATTTGGTCAAATCCTAGAGGATTTGGTCAAAATCTAGAGGAAAATTTTGCCACTTTATCTACTTTTTATAAGATTTTGTAGATAAACAATGGTTATGTTGAAGTGATAAATAAACACCTAACTACCAGCAAATCTATTCTTATGCTTCTTTTGGATAAACAAAATTGGAAATGTACTTCACAAATAATACAACGACAGTACAATAAAGTCATTTATTTAACTGTGCTTCCAGTGATATTTAACTCCAGTATTTTAGCTCAAATGAAACAGTACAGCACCAATTTCATCTAAAAGACATCATTTCATTTTTTTAACAAAAGCTGAACTTCTATTTAATAGGCAAACTTGAGATCAAGTTTTAATGGTGTTTACTTTCTCTGAAGCACACCATATCAATCTCTCTCTCATATGCCATTATGCTGACAGCTAATGTGAGAGGGGACAGAGTAATTATTCACCACAGGAATTTATTTCTCCACCACAATTGTTATCAGTGTCCTTTCTTCAGAGTTTGTTATTCCTACAATCTCTCCATATCTGACTTTCAACACAACCTAGTAATCTCATTAAAATGTTAATATCTTAAAGGACAACAGGACTGCAAACACAAGAGATGGCTGAAAAACTTCACAAACTTAAAAGTTCCATATTTTACAGATTAGTATGTTCAAGTAATAGCTTCTCTCGACAAGACGTACAAGACTCAAGCAGCAGTAATACTAACCAAGTATTTGGAATGATATGTTAATTTACTCACTCACTCGTGTGTCTCCCTGGGCTTCATGTCTACACTGGACACACTCCAAAATGCCAGAGGGTAAAATGCATTGAACATGTGGCCAGTTCCAATAAACACAGTAAGCATTACGAAAAATGGACAGAAGCAGATGGAAATAGCAACTCCCTTTTGTGGAAGCACAGGTACCAGTGGCAAGTCTTACCATCTTCATAAAACAGCCATCATAGTGACTAAAAACACAATCCTATACATGCGCAGACATGCATTGCTGCTGAGCAATGTACGTGAAATAAATAATGCATAGGATTGCACGCTAAAGCATAGTAGGTATATTGTCCCTTTATGCCATTATGTGACAAAATTTAGTTTTTACTGAGATTTCTAAATCCTTTTCTTTTATTGTCAAAACTCCAAGTGAGCCAATTTTCCAATAATTTGTTAAAATATTAATTGCAGTAGTTTGTCTTTGGATATGAACCTTACATTCCTACCTATGTGCTAAACATTCTGCTGTACTATAGGCTTCTGGAAATCTTTTTATTTGACTAATTTTTAAGTGCTGATGCTGTTTTAAAGATTTTATTTGTGTTAATTCAGATGATGCTGTGCTTTTATTCTATCACCTTCCTAGGACTCAAGGTAAAAGACAGTATAGAAAAACGAATGAGTAAGATGCTGTTTTTTTAATTTGAAAGTGAGACAGAATACAAAAAGAGTAGAAAGTATAGGAGCAGCTGCTTTTGATTTAAAAAATAACCTGTGTTAACCTCAAATATTTGAGGGTACACACGTATAAAACTTGTTAAAATCTTGCTTGAGCCTAGAATTCCCACACAAGGATGAGAAAAATACTGTAATTGAATCCTCAATGTATATGGCTAGTTAAGTAAGGCACTTCTTATAGTGCAACCAAATCAGAGCTATTTTGGTTAGCCTACACTGCTCATACTAGCCTCAGAGAAATAATGGTACAGCAGACTTTGGAGGGTTATACACTTAAGAACTAAAAATGCATTAAGTATGAATTGCACTCTGTGTGCAAATAACCACAACCCTGGGTATTATAAATAGCAGTACTAAAAACATTACAAATCTTGGATTTGACAAATGCAACTGGTTCAAAAGTTTAACCAACCTTCACTGCTGTGTGCCTGAAATAGGAAAATAGGTACTATGTTGTCAAGAGTAACAAGCTATAACAAGGCTGTTACAAATGGTTTTACTATGAATGAGGGACAAATGCAATACCTTTTATTGTAAGCAGATGTAACCTCACAGCAATTTTTCACTCTATACTCCTAGAGATCATTTATCACCATCAGCAGATTAGTTCTTTTTAATCCCATTTTGACCCTAGTATGGCATGTGAATTAAGCAAACCTGAAACTGTTGTCTGGACAGGTGTTTCCATAATTTTCTCAGCTATCATTAGAGCAAGGACTTTCTGTACTCTTAATGAAGGAATAAAAAATTAGTCCCTATGATAGCTTCCAAATTCAACAGCTGGACTGCAATGCTTCAGAAAAAGAAGTCAAGCTTGAATAAAGTCCAGATCCTACAACTATAATAATTGCTTACTTCAGCAAGTACAATTTCATGATTTGATATCTGGGCTCTCAAAAATGGGATGCTGATGAAATTAAATCTATTTTTTCCTGTAGTGAGCAGCTCAAAATTTTGATGGTACTTTCTCAATCATACCTTATAGACAGCGATACATGTAATTATGCCTTCCAAAAGTCACTACCAAATAGAGTGGTACCTTGGCTCATGAACTTAATTCGTCCCATGACTCTGGTCGTGACCCAAACTGGTAGTGACCCAAGTCAAATTTCCCCATAAGGTTCAATGTAAATAAGGTTAATCCGTTCTGTAACCATTTTTCTAATCACAAAAAAATTGAAACAAAGTGACAAAGAACATCAAAGATCATGGCCATCTCCCCACCCCAGCACACTCGTGGCCATCTCTCCCCCCCCCCCCCCCCAGCAAGCATAACCGCAATCGCGCCTGTCTTCTCTGTACAAGCGCAACTGTGATCGCGACCATCTCCCCACTTTGGGAGCACATTTTGTTTGCCTTTTGCCACTGAAAATGGGGTGTAGCATTCTTAAGCTCAGTAAGTCCCTGAATCCATTTATGTGCTTCCTGTGACTTTGCAGTGGTCAATCTGAAGATTTTGCTGACAGTACAAAAATGTAATATGCTTGCATACAGAGGAAGCCACGCGTGTGTGTGTGTCACACCCAGACAGACACATGCATTCTAAATGGTCAAATTCACTGGGCATACATAGGCATGCAATGAGTTTCACTGACCAAAGAATGTTGAGAAAACCTTTAACTGATAAATTTCTGTAGCATTTATTTCAGCAGTGCAGACTTCCTCAAGCTGATGCCTCCAAATGTTTCAGACTTCAATTCCCAACAACCATTGCCAGCATGACTGCTAGTCAGGAATGAGGAGAGTTCTACTTCATTACCTCTGGAGGGTACCAGGTTAAGGAAGGATGTGATAGCACATTAAATCAGCAGCCCAAGTTCCTTGTCTACAACTGCTGAAGTGGCAGCATCTATTTATGAAAGTGAGAGAGACTTTCAGGTCACCACCCACTTCCCAGCTCCTAAGCCTATAGCAATCAGCAATGCCTTGTAGTACTGGAGCATCAGTACATCCTCAATTTAGCAAAGCAGTCATATATCACACAAAAGTTAAGAAACCACAGGAAAGCACTTAAGTCAACAGCCCTGAAAGGCTGTAAGTTGTTCGACACTAATGTAAAACCAGGAACTCTTAAAGAAGCACCGTGACATTGTGACACATGACCAAGTCAATGTAGCACATCAAAGACAGGAACATAAGAACAGCTATAATAGAGCAGATCAAAGGTACATCTAGTCCCTCTTTCCGTTCACCCAATTGGCCAACTACCTGCCTATGGGAAACTTGCAAGTAGAAAATGAATGCAAAAGCACCCTCGTAGTCATGTTTCCCAGCCACTGGTATGCATAAGCATCCTATCTCTGATAGTGAGAACAGCATATTGCCACATGACTAGTGCACTGACAGCCTTATTCTTCAGGAATGTGTCTAATCTCTTGGAGCCAATTATTACCCAAATTGGAGGAAATTATTATATTTTGTGGAATTGAATTCTATATTTTAAATATTATTATTGGACGACATTTATATCCCACCATTTTCCTCTTGCAAGGAACTCAAGGTAGCTTACACAATCCTCCACTTCTTAATGTTATCCTCATAACAACCCTGTGACATAAGTTAGAATGAAAGTCCATTTCTGGCCCAAAGTCACCTGGTGAGCCTCACTGTGAGTATGGACTGTAAGCGCCATCTCCCAATTCTCAGTGCAGCACTTTTAACCACTGCACCAAAGAGATTGTAAAGAGCACTAGAAGGACCTCTTCTGACTGAGAGAATAGGTATTTAAATGACAAATATTGTCTAGTGTAAGCAAATATAAAATGATGAATGCTGGGGCAACAAACCTCAATTTTATATGTACACTCATGGCAACCAAGCTGTCAGTAGCAGACTAAGAAAGAGATACTGGGAATGCTATGGAATGAAAGCTCAGTAAGAATTGTCAACCTAGTGTGAAAAAGGCAAATGCCAAGTTGGGCATAATTCTGGAAAAAATTACAAATAAAAATATATCATATTGTCCTCACACAAATCTGTGATGCAATCACACTTAAAATACCACACACAGTTCACAGCACCTAAAAAAGAATGTCACTGAGATAGAAAACAAGGGCAATCAAAATGTTTAAAGGACTGACCTTAACTTGCCTATGAGGAAAGCTTATAAGATCTGGGACTGTTCAACTTAGAAAAATAGTAAGGGGAGAAAAAGGTGTACAAAACTATGCATGTTGCAGGGAACTGCATAGGGAAACATGTTTATCTCTCTCACATAATATTAGAACCTGGTGTTATCACATGAGTTTGTGGGGGATTCAGAAAGATACCACTTCACAAAGTGCCTAGTTTATGTAAGGACAGGAAAGGAGCACAGAAATTTTTCATGTCCCTATGGAGCTGGGTGAATTATTATACTCAAACATAGTAAACCTAGCTTTGACTCCCTGGGTTTATTTCAAAATATGTTGTTCATTTAAGACAGTATCTGAAGTTTTCCTACCTAACGATGTCCATTGCCTGATAGAGAATTTCAGACTGGTCCACTGCTATCACCTGTTTTGCACCAGCTTTTGCAGCAAACATGGAGAGGATTCCAGTTCCACAACCAACATCCAGGACAATCTAGCAGAAGGAAGGAAGGACGGAGTCATTATTAGTGCAAAGTTAGATGATTTTCAAAGCAATAATGAAAAGTTCAATTTAAAGTTTTTTCCCAGAAAATGTACGAAACATAATGAGTAAATTCTAAGGTGGACAAACTTACATTCATTTGCTGGATGGTAAAGGAAAGATACCTTGCAATTTCTTCTATCAAGTTAAGATTAGAACACACACATGTACATACATACACGCAGTTGGTTATTTCCAGTACTCACATTTCATTATTTTAATACCAACTGAACTTGCAAGAATGAAGGGGAAAAATCTACAAGATGGTCACATAATTGGACACACAAGAGTTCAAGCACAATTGCTCAGAGTGGCAACACCTGATGTTCAGCACCAAATGTATTCCAGTGGTATTACTTACATTTCTGTAATAAAAAACCCTATTTTTTTCAATATAGTTTCATCAGTAATTTTTCATTTCATTTTGTTTCATGTACACATTTGACACAGAAAAGTCTATGATAATATTTTATTACTTTTAATAAAATAAAAAATTAGTAATACTGTTTATTAATTTTTATTAGAAAGCAAGTTGGATTGGAAGTAACAAAAGCAGTTCATTGACAACAGTATACTACTAAGTGTATATTTAAGATCAACATCAGTACTGAAAAATCTGCTGGTACCTAAACATTTGGATTAAAGACCATGACTACAACATGCTTAAATGCCTTGATTAGCTTATCTTACTGTCAAAATATGGTTTTATTATTTACTCATTCCAATATATAAATGGTAGCCCACTCCATTTCTTAAAAGTTGCTGTTCTTGTATCTGCTATCTATGGTTCTTATGGACTTAGAGTGCAGGTTTCCAGCAAGTATTTCTGCATCAAATATCATAATATAGAAGCAATACTCCTGACTTGATGTCATGCAAAAGGCATAACAACCTATTTCACCTGGCCATCTGTCAGTTAAGGTCGCTAGAGAAGCAAGATAAAGACTGACTTTTGGGAAAATAGAAGGGAGATGCTGGCTGACAGATTTAAAATTACATTCAATTTTCTCCTATTAACCTCATGAAATCCCTAAACATTTTGCCTCACATTTCTGAATGGCAACGTGGCAATGCTAATGATAATTTATGTCAGATCAGTAACAACATGTCAGCAGAGTCCTGACATAGGAAACAGTGTTTTTGCTTGGAAAGTATAAAAAAAATCTTTAAACAAAATAGGATAGAGCGACTTTCTACAAACTGTGGGCAAAAGAAGTTATCATCCTCATTATTAATTTTCTTTCTATACTGCCCACTAGCTGAAGCTCTCAGGGTGGTTAATCTTAGAGCTCTCTGGATGAAAAATGGAAATGGAGTCAATTGCCTCTCTTGTGCTCCAGCATGAATGGGAAGGAAAAAGTAAGAGTGCACATTTGAAGCAGAAGGCAACATAAATGCCAGCAACCTAATTTGTAACTGAAAAGCAAAACCTCTCTAATTTCATAACCACATCACTACCTTCACATGCACTTGTGTATTTAACAACTCTGGGAGTAAATCTGCTCATTATTTGATAATTCTGAATACAAGGAAAGAGTTGCCACTTTTAATTTTCCTTCTTTCTGTTTGTACATGAACAGATTTAGTCACAGAGATGTACTGGCTCATCATAGAAAACTAGGGCACCACATTCCCCAAGAACATTTAAATTTTAATGGGGCCGCATATATTAGAAAAGAAGTGCCACAATTGTTACCATCTGTAAAAGCAGGTAAGTTCTCCATCCTAAAGTTAACTCACCTTTAATGTTAATAAAAATTCTGTTTAAAAGATGCTGTGGCGACAAAGTGTCATAAAAATATTTAACACAATTCTGAGTCAGTATAGACAGCTTTTAAATATTTAAAGTTACCAAGGCTGTTGATTTGTTTTCAAAGTAATAGATAATTAAAATAAGCACAACTGTCTAGCTTTGTACAGTTTTTAAACAAGGTAACATATTAAATAACTTTTTAAAATTAGGTAACTTATTTTTAATAAGGTAACTGCAAACTGCAAAACAAAGGTACTTTTAACTACAAATAAATGCAATATTAAGATTATTTATCCACCATAGCTTGTTTATTTTAGAACTTAAACTTCTGTATTTCGCTATCTCAGTTGTACACACCACAATATACTTGCCAAGAACAGAAAACAGTTTTGTCCTACCCATGACTGGTTTGTGGGATAGGGTTAGGGTCAAATCTTCAGTCAAAATGTTGGACTGTGCTTTGTACCCATCATTTAGTTGGGAGCCACAAGCATAAAAGGGTCCACATTGCTAATGTCATATCTAGTTTTCCTACACTTCCTTCACACAGCTGGTACAATCTCAGAAGCCATGCATTGCCAGTTGCTGTGAGCACAATTGTCTAGATGGCGAGACATTAGTTCCCATCAAAAAATACCTCAAATGGCAGGCATTTCCTTGCTTTGCCTTGTTATATCCACAGTTCCCCATGCTTCACAATTCACATTACTCTACTGGTTGGATGCAGACTGAAACTCTGCTAGTGCAAAAGGTCATTTCCTGGGTTCTCTTCCCACATTAACAGCTCCCTGTGCACTCCACCATTTACTAAAGCAGACCCTGAGGAGTAGGAAGGAGTAGGTAGGCGGGGATTCTACCCAGGCAGGAAAACCAAGAGAATTAAGCAAGACTGCCTTCCACAAGTGGAAGAGCTTTTCCACTCATGCAATACATATCTGGATCCAAGTAATCATCTTTTTGAGCTATGAAGCTGGCCAGCAAGGTACAATGGATTGCTGTTGGATCTTGTCCACACATTTCTATTTAGCAGTATTTTGCAAAGCTTGCAAAATGAAAGCATGGGGATTTGTAGAAGTGGACTGGGATAGCAGCCACAGTCTCATGCAGCTACAGAGATGATCCCTGCCGCTCTCTGGCTTCAAAGGGATGGGAACAGGGTACAATCCGTTACTTCACACAGAGACACAGTACAAGATCAGGAACAAAGCTCTACTCCTTATCCAAGGACAAAGGCAGGGTCCTCTCAACACATTCCTGTTTGGCTGCAAAGCCAGTCATAATCTGTAGATCTAGCATAGGAAGGTATTTTGCATGTCTAGAAGGGAAAAAACAGCCAAATGAGTTGCTGAGGAACAGTAGCACCAACAAATTTCTGCAAGGTAAGTGTGGACGGGCACACTGCAATGTAACAGCTCAATGCAATGTGTTGTTTAAAACATCACCACCACATTACATTTGTATACTGCCCATAGTTGAGGCTCTCTGGACAATTCACAACATTTAGGCACCCATCCAGATTTCAACCAGGCCCAACCCTGCTTAGCTTCCATGATTAGGAAGGATCAGGCACTAGAGTTGGGGCTATTGGACAGTATAAATAAATAAATGTGCGCTTGGCAAAGGGCCAGCAGGGAAAGGGTGGAGAAGGCCTGCAGTGGGTTCCTTCCACATATATGTGCTATTGGGATCAGGGGAAAAGATAAGCTAAGATTGCAACATATATTTATAGCTTTCTCCTCTCCAATCACTTATCCTTGTTCCACAGTTGCTTCATATAGAGCAAAATAAAGTCCCCAGAAAATAAAGACCTCACTAACAATGAGTTTTTATAAACTGCCTAGTAAGGCCTAATTTATATAGGTATCAGTCAAAACAACAATGGGGTTTGAACTCTTTCCAGAACCTAATTCCTACAGGATCTTCATGATGCTTTTATCATGCAAGACACAGCTTAGAAATTCCGTTGAATTACCGTATATAAGTGCACGTGCACCTACTTCAGATGCCAATTAAAAGGAGCAGACAAAGAAAGGCTCAACAAAACCATGTCATCATAATTAATGAACACTCAAGAGAGTACACTTGAACAATGACAGTGCTCATCTGCATTTCTCTTATCAGTTCTCTACACCCTCCAGCAGCTGAATGATGCTCTCCGTGTAATAGGAACCAAGTGCATTGAATCAAAGCTCCACCAAAGCATGATTCCCTGAATTATAGAAAGAATCCAATCCAAGAGGCTTTTATTACCTTAGAGAGTCATATACTGCAAGAACATTAAACTGACCCACTTACCTTATCTTTAAAGATGTGGGAGTTTTGATATATGAAGTCACGATAGCTTTCTGTGCGTACTTTATCCTATTAAAAAAATAATTTCCAGAAAAATTTATTGTAGAATGACAGCACCATAAAATGTTAGCCACCTCACTCCTATCTTTACCAAACAAGCCAAACAAAAATTAAGCATTTTTCAGGCACGTGAATTTTTCTTTGTTCATATTTTGCTCAAGATGTGGCTGATTAATTTTCTATATAATCTTTTAAGCAGCACTGGAAAAGTATGATACTGAGTATGAATAAAATATGGACATCCTAATATACCAAGATAAAATAGTTGGGTTTGTTGTTGCTGCTGCTGCTCATAGGGAAATAGCCAACATGGCTGTACCTAACAGTCCCTAACGTGTTTCCTAATTTTTCGAACACCATATTAGTGAACAAAAACACTGAAATATCAGTGAAGTCCAACACAAATATTCTTAGATTTTGGTATCTCTCTAGGGTTTGGCCATGACTATCAAATCAAAGTAAATAAGGTCTGCATTTTAAGTAAGACTAGGTTTAGGTAGCATAGCATGCTATTCATAAGGAACAACCTTGTTTGCAGCCACAGAAGCTTACAAAGCCAAGTGTCTCTCAGAAGCTGTGCAAGCCACTTCATAATATGCCAAGTTCAAAAAAAAAAAGCCTCTTATGTTTAGTCAGCATGACTAGAAAGTATTGGTGGTTTTCCAGTTTGCGCACCTGAATAGATGTAAAACATCTGAACGTGAGCTGGCTGTGTAACTTATCTTAGCAGCCAACTAACATCATTCCTTTCAATATGCGTAGGCAGGGAGAGAAACTGCCAGCAAGCCATATGCTTTACTCCTCCTGCAAATAGCTAGGGAGCCAATCAGCAATGCCAAGAAATACAGCACTCGTGATTTTATTTTTAGCTCCTTATGACAGCTTTAAAAAAAAGTATAAAGCACAAAGAGAACACTAAAAAAAGGTAAGAGCCTCTGTTTGCATACAAATTGGACACTGCACCACTAGATACAATACCAAAAGGACGGGAGGATAATTCTCTGCAGCAGCTAACATTGCAGAAGTAAAGTTTAGAAATGCAAAACCTAGGGTAGGTGAACATATCTGTGTCCTTTCAAGATTACATTTTTGAACTAGAATTTCACAAAGCAACGTGAAAAGGTTACTTTAGACCAGGGGTCTCAAACTCGCGGCCTGCAGGCCAATTGCCGGGACGGGCGGGGCACGGAGAGGGGCCCTGCGGCCTTCAAAGCACCGGCAGCGCCCGGGCCAGCTGCGGGATGAGCGGCCCACCACCACCGCAGTGGTGGAATCCTTGATGCGGCCCAGCCTCACCCAGACTCCACTTCCAGCGGCCCCCAGCTAAGTTGAGTTTGAGACCCGTTTTAGAGATTACAACAGATCAATCAGACTTATAGTGAACCTCTTTTCTTTTAAAGCACTCAAAGCAGCTTATACTATTCTCCTCCTGCTATTCTCAATCTTATCCCACAACAACCCTGTAAGGTAGGTTAGGATGAGAGTCTGTGACTGGCCCAAGATGATCCAGTTGGCTCCATCGCTGAGCAGGATCACCTGAGTCCCAGTCCCACACTCTTAACCACCACACCACACTGTCTCTCAAATAAAATTATAAATGAAAATTAAATTAACTTTAGAAACATCAACAATTTGGAACTTAAATAGAAGGGTCAGTTCTTTCTATATGAACCTGCCTGCTAGCTGTATCCGTGTGTTATGTGAGGTGCACACTACCAAGTCAAGGCAATATTTTTATGCCAAATCAGCCAAACAGGTCCAGCTCAGCACAGCCCGGCTCCAGAGCTGAAGCGAGGAATCTTTCCCAGTGCTACCCAAAACTAAATGTAGAACTTAGCACAGAAAGTTCTACAACTTCACAATGGCCTTTGTGAATTCTGAATGGCTGTTTCATTATTGTGAGCAACCCTTAGTACCCAATTTGGATGGACAACGAGTGGGATATCAATATTTATGTCCTTTTAAAACACTCCAGTATTGTTTTCTGCAAACTTTTAAGTAGCTATGTGGAATTGAGAAGCAACTAATATTTTGTGTTCCTTTCTTTCAACACTGTTAGCGGAAGACTACTTAAAATCAAAAGTCTTTGTCAGTCACAAAAGCGGTCAACTGTAACATTTTCCCACTTCTTACCTCACTACTGCTGCTGCCTAAACTTAATCAATAGATTTCCAACTGCTGTCTTCACTACATGCACGGTTGCTCAAAAAAGCTCCACTCATTTATTTGGGCACTGTTAGCTCCTTTTCTCACCACTTCTTCCTCTGTTTCATTGCAGTAATAATATTCAAGAAGTTAAACAATTCTTTTTAGGATAAAAACTTAGAACAAGCCAATTTGCACCCTTACAGTAAATAAAAATGGCAAAATACTTAAGCACAAGATGGTATTTTCCCATACCTTTCAGCTGGTACTTCAAAAATTTATTCCAGAATAATCCTAAAGCCAAAAAAGATGCTCACATGAGAACTGAAGATGCTTGCCAAGCTCTAATGATATATGGCTCTACAGGAACAATTCCCTTACAAACGTCAGTAGAGCCAATCCAGTATCAGATGTTAGATTGCGGGTGGCTTCAATTCCCAGCACTTCCAAGTAAGTGTACAAAAGACACTTGAAACACTGAAGATACAAGGCCAGTCACTGCAGGCTGATGCTAGGAACTTTCAACTCAAGGGCCAAATTCAATTCAATTTAATTCCAGTGGTGAGAAGGGCAAAAGGGCCACAGGTAACAGTGTAAGAAATACCAACATACTGTCACTTAAATCTTTTACTACTAGTATCTAATCCATGGAAGAAGCATTTCAACATTTAAAAATGGGGGGAAGAGAACCGCACAGATTCCAAGAAACCACCAAAGAGGTGAAAGAGGCTGAAGTGAGGAACAGAATGTGTGGCCCCTAAGGGGCAGGTTCAGACCACAGGAAAGCCAGGCTTGGCTCCCAGGTCTGATACTTTCCCTCCCATGTATATATTGCTGAGCTAGATGGCTGAAGGTCTAATAAGACAGCATTCAGGCACTTCATGTTGACTTAATGGGTAATCAAGATGTCGGATTCTTCTGTTTCAAGATTTTCTGAAGACACTACAGTATATATTCTGAAAAGCCACCAGAATTGGCAGTTTTTCATCGATACCTCAGTTCCTGACCAAGCATGGTTCCTATATAGCAGGGTGCAGGACCTATGGACCTTCAGATATTGATGGTCTACAACAACCATCATCACTGGCTACTGACTATGCTGGCTCAGTCTAATGGGAGTTCTGAGCTATAGATTTCCCATCCTTGCTATACAGGAAGTGTCAAAAATCTCCCACCACTTAGCCTGAGGCACTGTTTATTGTCACCTCCACCATGGTTTATTGTCCGTTTGGTCATTAATTGAGTGCACAGATGTCACAAAATGCAAATGTTGTCACCAATCAAGACAGAAACCCAAGGAAACCTGACAGATACACGATCTTAGGTACTGAATTCCAGGATCAATTACTTTAGGCTTGCACTAAGCAAAATCCAATATCAAGACATCTAAAATGTACTGCTTTCCAGAATTTCTCCTTTTAATTATACATAAAGTGCAGCTCCTAGCCTGGAAATCCACAAGTAAGATCAAAGTGAGACAAAGAGACACAGGCCTTAGAGGAATCATAATCTAATTTTCAGATCACTTGAGAGCACCTTGATGTTTATTTATTCTTGGGCATAACAGCATTTCTGACAAAGTTATGAATGGATTCCATTTATGATTAACATTTTTAAAGTACCTCAGTAGTTCAAATCTATTAATGCAATTGTTTGGGCTGCACCCAATGCGACTCCTAGCTGAAACAAATGGAACTTAAGTTAGATGAACATGGAATATAACTCTATTTCTACATAAGGACAAGGTTCCACCCCAGCTACATGAGTAGGAAGGAATTATATTGAAAGTATCTTAAGATTATTGGAACAAAATGAGTTGGAAATGCTTAATCCTGGCTGAACCCCTTGACACCACACTGAGTCCCACTTGACAAGTGTCCAGCAAGCTTTAGGAATTATTATCCAGACAATGCAAGGACAGGACAAGCATAGTCATTGGTACCTGGTCCTTATTTGTGTTGGCTTTCTCCTTGTTTTTATTGTATTTTTCAGCTTAGTTTTTGCTAGAATAGCCACCAGTTAAGTATGGACAGGGTTAAAAATGCAGCTCCACTGCAGTATACTTATGGACAAACAGCCTTGCTTTTATGGCGAGAAAGACGTGCTTGTGTTCATTTCCTAACCTTTATCATCTCTTCGTGAATCCCATAGTGCCCATATGAGCTGAAGTAAACATCCTCCTCATCCTCCCGTAGGTCTGCAATGGCACTGGCTGTGCCACTTCTGACTTCACTGTTCATCACAAAATGCTGAGCAAATTGTCTGTAATCAATTTGAAACATACTCTTGAGACACATTAATGGGACCATTAGCAAAAAATGCAGACAAGTGCATGGAGAACAAACACACAGGTTTCATAAAGCGATCTTGAATCTCAAGCATGCTAAAGCTCCCTCTGTTGGCTGCTGCACAGAAAGCTATTATGTAAGAGTTTGATATTCTCTGTGCATTTCAGCATCAGCAATTTTCCGCATTTCAGATTATGGGAAACTGAAATTTGGGGTCCTAACCTACTGTTTTCATAAGCTGCATTTGAGATAAAGGCCTTCATTCATCAATCATGAAAGATTACAATTATGGTGAAGTGTGGATATATATAACAAGGACATTTTGAAAGGTGCTATTAAAATACATTCAAATAGCACAGAAACCAGGGATACAGATTCCAACTGACACAAAAAGACTTGGACTTTTAAAAGACTATTGTCTAGGTCCTCTATGAAGAAGCCAATTCAATCCTAAAGAAAGTTAGGAATGAACATGAAAATAATGACCTTTCAAGGACATGCAACTGACTAAGGGAAAAAGCAGCCATTAAAACAGTAGCATGCTTTTAAAAAGTGATCACAGTATCCAGTAAAAAGTTGACAGCTTTACTCATTCTCTTCAACATTCCCTTTAACATGCCTTTGGTGCATATAATTGTTTTCTAACATCTAGCTACTGCTGCAAAGAAAATTTAATAGCAGATCATTATTTTGGATAGAGCAATTCAAGACATCTTCAGGGCTCCATGCGTTTTGTGCCAGAGAAACCCAGTTTAGCACCAAACACTATCAATATTGGAAAATGTTAAAGGTAATTACATTGCAAAATGTATTCTCCCACCAGAATTCAAGTTGAGGTGGTTTTGGAGTTTTTCAGGGAGACAGGTAGGAATAATAGCTGGGAAAAATAAAGTAACCATGTGCTGTGGATAATACAGTACAGACACCCTTAACAAGAAGGTACCTTACCAAAACAGCAAAAAGCAGTAGAATAAGTAAATGGGTTGTTTTATTGCACAAAAATATGCAATTCCAACATTTTGGACCTCAGTTAGTCTTTCTTCAGGGAAACTCATTGTGACCAAATTCAGAAGGGTTTTTTTTTAAGATTTCCAGAAAGTGATATGCCAACTCCAGGTTTACTAAGGAGGACATTATTTATTATTGTAATAATATCCAAACAAGATAGCTACACTTCCATAACATTTAGCAGCACGCCTCTTAACTCAGTGCAGCAGGGACCTCTGCAAGGTGAGTCAGCTGCGTTCAGAATCCCCCTCGAAAACAGTCTGAACCAGAGCACAAAGAAAGCAACCAGCTTTTCTACATTACAGACTTATGGTATTGTAATGTGTGTATGTGTACAGATTTCGATGTACTTACACAGGTGCTAAGAAATAATGGAGTACAGTGAACTAGTAAGGAATATTCCTGACCGGATGGCCAAGATTCCTCTCTGTCTGACATCAAAGCACAGGCCATAGTAATGCCTGAAAAGGGACATTCAAGGCTACAGATTTGCAATGTGCATGGGTCCTTGTCCCATCTTAATATCAGAGAAGGGGAAACTCATTAGCTTCATGAAAGCAGACTGTCAGGGTCAGAGGAACGCTGACTAAGGCTCTATTGTGATACTGTAACAACTGGACTTTAATGCCAAGCAAAGCAGGCATTTTAAAAACCTAGACACCCAGGCCTGCTACATTTCATAAGGAGCCAACTACCCTCTCTATAATCAGTGAAAATGACATATCAGTTTCTAGTGGCCTCAATCACTATCATAAAAATATTTTAATCTCATGCCTATAAGTTTGTTGCAAACTAAGGTTCTGACACAAAAGATCTCTGGTCAAAAATGTACCTCATTTTCTGAAGATCGTCCTGGACTCTGGCCAATGCAGCTTCTGCCAGTTCTGCTCTCTGCTCTGCATGCTTCAAGCGCTCAAGGCAGGGTGAAGCTTCAGTTAGCCCATTAAGATGCGAGGCATTGCTGGATTCCAGAAGATCTTCAATATCTGAAAACAAAACAAGAGAATTGGCCTAATACTGTATAAATACTAAGACATACCAGTATTTGGAATCCAAAGAAATTCATAGCCTGTCCTGCGCACGTAGAGCCTGCCTAAAGGGAAGCATACAGAATGAAATCAGTTTATGAAATTATCCACAATTTTACTGTTGCCACCAAAGGACTTTTTCAGATTACTTCCTCCTTACTGAAATTTTTAAAAGGCCAGAATCAAAAGAACTATATTGGATATGAACTTAAATATAATCACTAGTACTGTTTTTGTTTTAAGTTTTTTGAGCTCCAAAACACATATCAAATGGAATGGCTTTTGAGATCTCTCTCAACTTCAAAATGGGTTTGCCAAGTTGCAATTCAAGATATGTGTGGCGGTGGGTGTTTAAGAAACAGCTCCAACCCCTTCTTGAACAGAAAAAATGGCCCATACCTTTCTTTGGATTCCAACAACAATGATTTTGAAGCAATAAAATATCAAACAGATTCCAACTTTGATTCTGTAATAGAGCAGAATAGATTCTGTATACTTGAATCTTCTATTCTTTTGGCCTGAAAGGTTATGTTTGCCCATTTAAAGCACTTCACTTTTTAGGAGTGCACTGGGCAAAGGTCAATGTACTTTCAAGATCCTTGGATGGTCTTGAAAAAGTAGGGTGAATTCCAAAAGTCAAAATATTCAGAAACAGGTTAGTGTATCTTACAACTGAATGACAACCCCCATCAGCCATGATACCTGCCATGCCGTATGGGACTGATGGAGGCTGTAGCCCAAAACACCTGAAGACACCAGGTTGGGGAAGGCTGATATACAGAATAAAAGAGGGTATCCCATTTTACCTTCACAACAATGAACAAAGATACAGTGATGTTCAAGAACAGTAAGTAACCTTCGTTGCTGACCATCTATTTGAATGGGATCCCTTGAAAAACTTCAACATTCTGTCTTCTAAACCACACTACTGAACTCTTATTGAAATACATGGAAATTGGTAACTGCAGCATCTCTTTAGCTTTCAGTATTTCTGAAATTACACCCTAACATGTGAAATATCTGACATGGCTGTAGCTAAGCAAGCAGGATACTACTGGCTTTTGCTCACACTTATTTTTACCCATTCTCAACAGACCTGGTTTTGGAGAATGAGAGCTGGAGAAGGAAACAGAGATCCAAGGACCTGGATACAAGAATGTTTTGGTTATGGAAAGTCTTTTAGACTCTCCAGTTAGAGATGTGAAAGCCTGAAATCAAAGATTCTATGTAGCTTTCCTAATTTCTGAAAAATCCCCAAGGCTGGAGGCTGCAGCTACTCAAGTAAACCAACAATAGCAGGGAAGAGTACAAAACACACCAAACAGTTTGAAAAGTATTCAGTGTTGGTTTCCTACTGTACACAGACCTTATCCATTCTTACCTCAATAAATGTGTTTACACTCTAGATCACACTAGGCTGCATTATTGTTCCAAAAATTATTGTGAATGATGGCTAATGCTTTTGCATGAGAAAGTCAACATCAGTAGGTCAGGCCTCAGAATGATATAAGAAGCTGGGCTGATTCAGTTGCCCTGACAATCCTGCCTCTTGATTTATACACTTAACACAAAAGCATTTGATCAAGGAATTAAGCTGATCTATAACTTGTGGCTTCAGGGTTTACTTTACTTGACTGATCTGCTGTTCTATAGGTATTTTGACTCAGATTTCTGTCAATTACTCACACTCCATAGAATTAATCTCAGCCTTGCTAGTATTCTCTATCTGTAAACTGGGCAAATTTTTCAAGCCTGTTTTCTACATAGGAAATGTTAACCAATTTTTAAAATGTTGAATTCATAATCTTAAAATATGCTACTTATGTGCATAATATTTTGCCTATGCATTGCACAAATTGAAATGAATCAAATGTAACCTACTACTTAGTGGTCCGTTCACTGCAGCAGAAGTATAGAAAATTCCACCACTTCTGGATTACCCTCTTCCTTTTGAAAAGAACAAGTCAAAGCTGTGCTCAGATGAATGTGTGGGTCATGACCACGGTTGCTATTAATTCCTGAGCTGTTCCTACACGGGAAGCTACAGTATGAATGTTAAAATCCTTCAGAACAGTCTGGAAGACTCCAAAATCACCAGAGAGCATCCTGGCTGGGTTAGGTAGGGGAACTACTGGGTAACAGGGCAGTGCACCAGCAGATTCCTGATCTTACAGCCAACCTCAGAAAGACATACTAAAAACTTGGCAAAGACTACAGGAGCAGCTGATCAGGGAGACAATGCCACTGCCAACACCACTCCATGTCCCCTAGGTTGAACGTGCTGCTGTACATGGAATCCTGTTGAACATATCCTGAGTAAAATGGTGTAAATTGGTGATCTGCAACAGCAGGGGGTTGGACCTGATTGCCTTCTTGGCCCCTTCCAACTCTACTACTCTATGATTCTATGATTCTGTAATTTGATAGTTATGCCTGGGTCTCCATGATACATGCCACATCAATACAGTTATCAAGGATCAAGTCCTAAATGGCAGATATTTTACAATTAACCCATTTAAGCATTCAGCAGAACTTTCAAATAACAAAGAGTTCTGTTACGCAAGCTCAGAACACTCTTCATAAGTGATGAATCATTAGACCTGATGACCAAGCACAGTCTGATGTCTTGCCCTGCAAGACCTAAACATCTCACATTTTCACTTTGTAAATGATACATATTTTTATGCAGTAATTTAATCAAGACATTTAAGGCCTATAATCTCCATTTGAAGATACAAGAAGTCTTTTCCCTTAACTCGGTACATCATATTTAAGCAGAGTCTTTAGAAGAATAAACAATCAGCACACAACAATGTTTATACTGATGAAGACTGACAACAAATTTAAGATTAAAAGAAACCTTACCAAACTGGAGTAATAGATCGTCTTCCAGTGCAGGCTTCAAATATTTCTCTTCTTCCCAAGGAAAGGGAGAACTGATAGTGCAAAGATATTCTACAGCTGGTTTCTGAAATAAAAGTTGAACAGAAAAGTTCATAATGTTTTTGTAATTAATTATTCAATTATTCAATTACGTTATTGCATAGCCACTGTTGAAGGAGAGAACAGATAAAAAATTCTGGCCTCCAGGCTTAATTTCGACCAGTAAAAACCAAGGATCTGGGCAAGTAAATTCAGAAACATTTTTAACTTAATTTTTACTCTTGCTGCTTAAACATTAACTATTATTCACAGTACTGCCAATCCTGCACTGTTGAAAGAATTAATTTATACTGATTATCAGACAAGGACAAAAATTAAAATGCAAACTCACATGCAAACAGAAGATGACTGCATGTGGAAGTCATACAAGCTGTACTTCTTACAGTTGTTTTCAGGTGTACTAATAGAATAACCTCACTAAAATACTAAAATTCATATGCTGTCTCCCTGTGTTCTAAATCGAACAATACTACTGTTATCCTTCTGCTGCTATCTTTATTTTTTATATTCAAGGAAACCAGGGTGGCTTACAATATTCTCCTCTTCTTAATCTCATCCTCACAATAACACCCCTGTGAGGTAGGTTGGGCTGTGACTGGCCCAAAGTCACCCAGTGAGCTCCATGGCTGAGTGGAGCCTAGAACCCAGATCTCCTGAGTCCCATTCCTGCACTCTTAACCACTAAACCACACTTACATCTTAGCACATACAGATTCCTAAACACCTCTCCCCACCTCTAAGTTTCAGCACTCTTGCAAGTTTTTTCCCCCCTTCTTTTTTCTTTTTTTGGCCACAGTCAAGTCACAAGTAATCACAATCTTAATTTTTCAAAAAGCTTCCCCCCAAAAGTTTCTACTGATGTTAAACAAATCTGCACACAGACCAAATATATGCATGGACAAACAGAAAATGTTATGCATGTTTCCTCAGAAGTTTGCATAATTGACTCTGTGGTGCTTACTTCAGCAGAAGAATGCATATTGAAACATTACAGTAATCAAACCTTTACAAACTTAAGGTTTGCCTAAACCAGCATGACCATTTTATCAGCTACATAGCTATACCCAGGACCCCAGAACAGGGTGAGTTCCTTTTACAAGCCTAAACAGTCAAAGTGATGCCAGTATATTGTTAATATACCAGACAAACTGATTTAGAAAGTGACGTAATTTTTGATAGTTGTTACGGCTGCCAAGACTTCTCTCTGAGATGATAATCCAAGACTGAAAATAATTCAGGGGTATTTTCCCAACCACTGGTCTAACTTAATTTATTTACAGAAACAAGGTCATCCTGTTTCATTTATCCCATTTTTGTAGGCCTTAGCTCAAACCAAAGGAAGAGCATTATATACCATGAACACTGCACCATGCTCTCAGAGTATCACTCAGTGTGGCTATTCCTGCAATTGTTCCTTGGCTTCTGCCCTTAACAAAAGCTAACCTTGTGCCAAACCAGAGACAGAATACTAAGGAAGTCTAGTTTCACAGCTACATCTATATGTAATACATTTCATGCGTACATATTTTGTGAACGACAAATTAAATCTGAAAGCCACAGACGTGAATTGTATGTTTAAAACAAACCATGTTGCTGTTTCTCAGATGCTTATTGCTAAATTTTAAACAAATTGCTTTTGCTAGGCTTATGATAAGACAAAACTAAATATTATTTAATTTTAGCCTTCTTCAACTTACAGAATACTTGGTAACTTACTTCTAGTCTAATAAAGTTCACTAGCTTGATATAGCCATAGAAATCAAGTCCTGAAAGAAGGAAGAAAAAAATAGAATTAAGTTATCTAAACTGAGCTGTATTTTGATATATTTATCACGTATATTAGGGCACTTTCCCCAATATTCTATTTTGTGTCACTACTTATGAACTGGACTTCAGGTCAGTTTCAGCCAATCTTTAAGCCAACGAAAACTTAGGTGGGCTTACCTAAGTCTATGAACCCAAAATGAACTTAAGACTAATACTTAACTGTGTAAAGTATCACACTGTTAAAAAGCTAAATTTGCTCTCACTCCCAAAATTGAAGAGTAAGTTTAATTTTGTAACTGTGCCACATTTCAGAGCATACTCCAGTATGACACAAATAACATATCACTTTGTTCACAGAAAAATAAACTAGCCCTGGTCATACTGTATTCATAAATAAACTTTTAAAAAATGGGCATAGTATTCTAAAGCTATAGAGAAGTGCAAAAAGTAGACAAGAGCTTTAATTGGTTCATATCTTTCAACATTTTTGTACACTGGAAACTTGCCTGCTTCCACAAGAACTTTGGTAGATTATAGACACCATTCACAACTGTATTGGAATTCTTGTTAATGCTTCTCAGGAACAAGTTCCTGTATATACACAGAATTCACTAACTGGCAATGACCAATCCATTTTCAAGTGATGTTTCTTTTGTGCACAAAGAATTTTAAATTGCATCCCAGTGCATGTCCTTTGGGCCTTTAGAACATTTGACACTAGCGATACTAGCAGTCTTGCTATTCACAATTAATTAGTAGATTCAGTTAACAACATCTACTTTGCCTATCTTGGTAAGAAAAATTTAATGCTTTACAAGTGCCCAATTTTGTGTTTCTTTGTTGCCCAAAGAAAACTTGTGGCAAACTATCTAGAAAATGATTTACAATGGAAAAAGAAACTTACTATGTTTATGAGCCAACATGCCAATATTGAATCCATGGTCTGATGTACAATGGCAAAATGCATCTTCAGCTGAACTGAAAAATCTTAGAAAACACAGTACAATGGTTTTTTATGCATACACTGCTATGCCAACACCAAGCTTTTAAACAGCATACAGCTTTTAACAGCATGGAGAAACAGACTGATCACAAGCCTCATGTGTGCGTGTATGTACATGGTATTCTAGCTGACATAGTTACAGTAATTTCGGCAATCACAGCCCAGTAATATTTAATATAAGCCTGAATAATGTGATGCTCAATTTAGTGCAAATTGTACAAACCGAACAAAAATCCAGTTACTGTGAGGCTAGTGCATACACAGTTGAGGTTACCATTAGAGTTTTAGATGCTGCTACTTCAGGGTCATTCCACCTGTCTCTGAACTCTATGACTGTTTACCCTAGTTCCAGCTCCATCCTTTTCATGGAGCTAAGAAAAAAATTTTTTAAAGGAAAAGGCTTTATCCACCTCTATTTCATGCATGTTATGGAGAAGCTTGTGAAACAAAACACAGCGATTCAGGCAGAAACAAAAGAGGCTGGTTTTATCCTTTTGACAGTTCATTGAATGGATAAGTGTGCAATTAAAGCAATTGTATTTTAAGTATATTGATTTATAATGACAGTTTGCCAAGCCATGCAAGAACTACATTAGTGTTATATTACATTGTGCAAAGTATCTAGTTCAATAGTGAGTACAACAGCAATGCTCTCTATAACTACTGTGGCTTATTGACACTTAATTTAAATTATGAGTATATTTTTATCTTCTACTAGAATATTTCATTAATAATCATATAAAAGCATATATTTAAATTTTGCCATAGCCCATTTCCATCGAGCTGGAACCAATTACCATATTTTACATAGAATTATAACCTTGAATAGCATGAATTCAAATAATGCGGCCTTTTCATGGGACTCATTATCTGCACAAGTTGAGACCTATGTGTATTAGAAAATTAGTAATACTGGGTTTAAGAGTATGCAAACGGTGAATTAAACATTAGGTGAAAACAGCAAGCACCTCAGAAGAGAAAATATTGCCATTTAACAGAAAAGAAGCGAGGAGGCAGGAAGCTTTGGTAGATGTGGGAACTATTAGCAATTAAATGCAAAAGAAGTTCACCAACTGACAGACTTAATGCTCATTCCAGACTGTACTCTTCACTCACTGTGTGGTGCCTCATTTGAAAGTTCATCACTCCAGTTTATATTATCATATTGCAACTCCCATGCTCAAGCTTTTAACACATCTGATTACCACAATAGTGTCATTAGCAGCCAGCTATTTTCCCAACACTGAAGCCACAATACATTAAATAAAATACTTCACGGGTTCCGCTGAAATGCGGAGCATGGAGAAAAGACGGCAAATTACGCAGCTGCCAGCACAGCCACTCTCAGGCTCCAGTACTTGCTTGGAGACGGAGGCACTCCCTCCCACAAAGGCCCCAAACACAAGTCGGCCCGAACCTATCGCAGAAGAGGCAGCGGGCCCTCCCCGCGGGTCCCCTCGACTCGGGGTCCTCGTCGTCTTCCTCCCAGGCGCTCTCACTGCCGCTGTCAGACCAGCAAGGCTCATCCTCCGAACCGCCCCCCTCCGCTGCCGGCACTTCACCTGCGATAACGAGAGGACAGAAGTGGGCGCCGCCGAGGCTCACCCTCGCCAGGGAACCCTCCGGGACGCGAGGTGACCTACCGACCGCCTCAGCTGCCCGGCAACTCATCACTGCGAGGCGCCACAGCAACCAGGACACGCTCCTCAGCCGCAGCGAACCCACGTGCAACGTGGAGCGCGAACACACTTCCGAGTTGTGGTTCCGGCAGCTGGCCAATGGGAGAGGAAAGCGAGTGAGCGGGGCGGAGGAAAGCGTACGGAGAGCCTACGGTGCCAAACTTCATGGAGCCCGAACAAGCGGAGGAGCGGAGGCGTAACTGTTCGTTGCGGCCGCAGCTCTGCGAAGCGAGGTCGCCACCAACAGTCCCGTTCTGCTCTTCGGGACTAGGAAGTCATCAGAATGGAAAATGAGCCACGATGGACATCTAATCCAGCATTTAGGTCACCAATGAGAATGGCCAGCCCGTTGCCCGCGGAAGACCTACAAGAAGGGCATGAATGCAAAGCACCCTCTCGCCCATGTTCCCCAGCAACTGCACGCGAAGGCATAGTGTCTCGATTACCTGAAGGAGCACACAGCCATCTGGACTAGCAGCCTGTGATAGCTTTATCCCCCATGCATTCGTCCACTCCCGTTTTAAAGCCATCCAAAACGGTGGCTATCACTATATCTCACGCTGGTAAAGTCCTTTGTTTGCGTATTGTGTGCAGAACTTCTGTTTTAGCACCCCTGTAGCTCTCACCAGCCAGTTTCTTGGGGTGATCCCTGCTTCTACTATTATGGGAAAAATTACTCCCTCACCACTTTCTCCACATCTGTCAGATTATACTATGACATCTAGTGGGGGAGTTAATTGGTTTCACAGTTTTGGTTAATGTATTAATGATTTGGCACAGACACTGAAGGAAAAGTATAAGTGAGACAGAATGCTCTACACCTATAGGAATGGAATGGAATGTTAAATGTGTGTTTGGTTAGGGCTCAAGCCTTTTTAAGTGTACATATTGGACTGGTCCCAGGGAGTCTAGAAAGAGAAGGAGAAAGAGACAGGAGGGAATGGAGGGAGTTGCCCTCTACTCTTTGATCCCTGGGTTGTCTTTGCACGTAGTGGTGACTGATAAATTTTCCACCAAACACCTACATTCAGGCCTTGTTCACATGATGGTGACAGGGATTATTTTCTGCCCATGTGCAGTGATGTGTTCAAGTCCTTTACTCCAAGTCTCTAGTCAAGTCTCAAGGCTTTCAAGCCTAAGTGGAGTCTCAAGTCATTGCAAGAAATTTTCTAAGTCTCAAGTTTTCTCAAATGTCAAGAGCCAACTTTAACAGAAAAAAGGGAGATGGTAGTGTGGTGTGGGGGTGGAAGAGTTGTAACCCCCCCCCACCCATGTTCCCATCTGTACTTCTCTAAGTGATGCATTGAAGTTCTTTACTTGAACCACAATTTATTTAAACAAATAAAATCCCTATCCGGACCCCACCCCCTTGAAAATCTCTCCCTCCCACCACCTCTGCTCCATTCATGCCTGCTTTCCAGCCCATCACAGATGTCTTCTGCTGAGACTGCACCATGATATCCTGCCACTATCTGGATGTGAGCCGTAAGCCCTGAAGCAACTGGGTCATAAAAACAGTAGAAATATCTACTTAAGTCACTTGCTTGTTACTCTTGAGTCCAAGTTCAGTTGGTGACATGACTCAAGTTGGACTTGGGAATGAATCACCCAACTCAAATCCCCAACACTGCCCATGTGCTAGTTGAATATAAGCTGGAGTAGCTTAATTTCCCCCAGCAGCATGACCTTGTGGTTAACAACCACCCCAAACCCCTAAAATAGCCCATGGGGTCTGTGAGCCACAGCAACAAGCCACCTTCTCCAGGTCTGTATAGCATAACAAGCCCTAAAAAATTCCCAGCACTCACAAGATGATTAAAACACTATGATGCTTATTAACCACCCTGCAATTGTGTGAATCAATCCACAGACATGGTTTTGCAGGATCACTGGGGCCCGCTATAGCTTAGTTAAGCCATGGTGCCCATGAATGGCAGGATGCCTGTTCAGCTCCCAGTTGAGGATGGCTCAGACAGTGGGTGTTTGAGGGTTAAACACTCCTGAAATAACACTACAAAACAACTTCAGCTGTTCTGGTTTGGCTGTGATGACAAACTATGGCACTCCCCAGTTGCAGGTTGAATATTCAAAATGGCCATTATGAGAGAAAAATCATAAATGCTTCTCTCCTAGTTTCTCATGCTTGGCAAAGAAGCAGACACATGAAAATAGATGAGGTAGGAACATGAAGATTCAGAGAACTGAGGTAGATACAACACAACTACAATTAGACATTGTAATACTATGTAAGAAGTAACAACAGGGATTTAAATGGACTAAGGATGAGGTTTCAAGCTTGATCCTTTCAAGGGCAATCTAGCAATAAGGTGTTAATACAGGAAAGACATACCAAGATGTATGACGAATAACCAAGAAGTTGGGGGCCCATGAGGAAGTATCTTTAGAATGATGTTAGCTATAAAAGCATTGTTCTATTATTGATCAGGGCTGTCCCCTGGAGTTCAGTCTATACACGTGTATAAACAGTTTTGTCATGTGCCATATTCTTAATAAACATTGCTGATTTGCTTTGTTCAAACCTATGTGAACTGTTTTCTGCAGGTTCTGACATCACCTACCTATGTGACAAGACCCTGTGACTTAATAGATTATTGGCTGCAATTATGCAATTAGCTCAGAAACATAAAGCTACAGAAAAAGGCACAAGCAGAGGGGGCTAGCAAGCCCCATATGAAACGGCACCTCTCGGTGCACCGTCATAAAGGGCAGGAGACTGCCAAAAATCATGCAGAGGTATATCACATGCTCCACACAAGACCAGGATTGAACACAAACTTCAGATATTGAGAGAAAGACCTGCCCAAGTTGTAATTCACTCAGTACTTCTATATATATTGATTGCAAACCTTCTGAAATGCATCAAATTTGACATTTCATGAAAAATATTCCAATTTATCAAAAATTCCAATCTCTTATCAGTCCTGTTTAGATCTAATGTAGTAGTAATCTTTCCAAAAATCAGTAAGATTTTAAACTCCTCCTGAAATAATTCTTTCCAATGACACTGCATCTTTAAATTTGGTGGTTACAATTTACCTGCTCCCTTCTCCACTTTTGGTTCTGTTGCCCAGCAGAACATGTTTTCAAAAAAATCCAGGCAAGTTTATTTTAGACAACTATCAGAATATGAGATCATACAATGTTTGGTTGGAAATAAACATCCTGAACCTGTATTACTCGGGTAGTTAACGATACCACCTTGTGGACCAGTAGAGGAACAACAATTGACTGTGCAGCCCTATGCTTATTTACTAAGAAGTAAACCCTATTGAGTTCTGTGGGGCTTGCTCTGACGTAAATGTGTGGAGGACTGCATACAGTCTTGCAGCCTAAACTTACTTGAGAGTAAAGCTCACTGAACTCAGTTGGACTTACTTTTGAGTAAGCATGCATACAACAGGCTGAACTAAAATTATGTTTGACAGCAAACTAGTTTTAATGTTAATACATACAGCTGAAGGACATTTGACAGGAATTTGTAAGAGCTCCTTGTGTGTAAGAAGGTTGTCAGCATTTTAATAAATATTTTTCCAAGCCTTAGTTCCATTTTCTAATTTCTGAGCAATAATATTTAAGTCCAAACAATATTTATCATAGTTACCTTTCTCCCACTGAGGAGCTACATAGACTTCCAGGTGGTCTCCCCTCCAAGCATAAGCCAGCCCTAGACCTGCTTAGCTTTAGCATGGTGGATGCCTTATGTGCCTTCAGACCATACTCAAATTTAAGACCACTTTATGTGCATCTGCTAAACCTGAGGGAAAAGAAGCTTTAAAGTTACGGCTTTACCTAAAATTGTATTGTTGTAGAATGAAACAACTTTTGTTAATAAATTAATTTTAGTTTGCAGTGCTTTTCATGCCGCTTGCATCAAAGTTAGCCCCACCAAGTTTAATTGGATTTACTTCCGATTATTTTCTGAGTCACAAAAAGGCTACTGCTGTGTATCCTATCCCTATCTGGATAGATATGGATTCTGTTGAATTCTATAAGGCTTAATCCCAGGAAAGTACAGATAAGATGCAAGCCTTAGAGATTTCAAATGGAGCCACCTATGTCTTACTTAGTCATCTCTTATAGCACCCTATATATCTAAAAAAGAAAACTAGCTACCTTTTATATACTACTGCTGAAGAATGCTACACTTTGGGTTTGGCCACTTCCTAAGGCAAAAGTGCTAAAGATTACTTTGGCTATTTGGCAGTGCAGTTTCAGTTCATTGAGAGAATGCTTGTAGTCCGATCAGGGCACTATTGTATCCTGCCTCCTTCTCTGCTTTCTTTAATTCTTTCTCCAAGGCTCTGTAACTTAGAGTCCAGACAAGGACAACAAAAATGATCCAGGGTTTGGAAACACTGGCCTATGAGGAGAGACAGAGAGAACTGGGCATGTTCAGCCTTGGGAACAGAAAACTGAAGGGGACATGATATCCCCCTACAAGAACCTCAAAGGCTGTCACAAACAGGAAGGTCAAGATCTTTTCCTGCTGATACCAAAGTGCAGGACATGGAATAATCAAGTCAAGCTGAGACCACCCAGATTCAGGGTAGATATCAGGAAAAGTTTCCTCCCTGTCCGAGCAATATGACAGTGGAACCAGCTGCCTAGAGAGGTGGTGGGCTCTCCCACTTCAGAGACATTCAAAAAGAAATTGGACAGCCATCTGAGTGGGTGTCCTCCAACTCAGGAGGTTGGACTTGATGGACTTCATGGCCCCTTCCAACTCTTCTATGATTATATCCCTATGGAGTTCCAAAGTCCTCTAAGACTTGCTACTACAGCCTGTCACTCTTCAGCCCCTGTCCACTGGGGCATATAGGAGCATCATGCAGCAGCAGAGAGGAACCAGTTGAGCTGTCCTCTCATCACAGTGTCTTCCTCCTTCCAGCCCTCACTCTGAGAACAGTTTATCCTCTATCTGAAGATGCATGTGTAAAATAAAGATGTATACAATCCAGTTGTGGTGTTTAAGGAAAGTTGAGGCATTGCTTTTTCTCACTTCCCTCCCAATTTAATAAGACATTGAAGAGTGACATAATGATATCCGAGAGGTCTTG